TGGGGGCGCTGGGGGGCGAACGAGTGGAGTTTCTCTTAGTTGCTTGTTGTAGTGCTGAAGCTTCAGCATGCAGGGGATTTGAGACATTCTCCAGATTACCTGCACCAGCTGCTAATAGAATGCCATGGTCATTTCGAATTGCAAAGCCCCATCCGCCTGTATGTTCTGCTTCAAAGAAGGCCCCATCTGTATTTATCTTCAGGGTTTCAGTAGGAGGAGGCTTCCGTTTTTGCTCCATCGTCCTCTTCGGCTCATTCCTTTGTGACCTGGACGAAATACAATCAAGTAGGTGATACTCAATAGATGATGATACTTCGGAGATGGTTCTCATTGTATCATCAATGTTTGCTTTATTTCTTTCATGCCACCACAACCACAATAAGAAAACCTTTAAGCATTCCTTCTCCTTGAGTTTAAATATTTCCTCACAAAAAGTTTTTGAATCTGGACAGAGGAGAAGCTTAAGCCTGATGTGTTCAAGTAATGATACTGTTTAGATCACTAATACAAAGGAAATGCAGTAGTGGACGAGCTGTTTGATGTGTCAGAGCAACTCTAGCAGACTCCGCATAACGCGCGAACCCGCATAATTCCGGCGAGTATACGGGCTCGGCCCAATTTTCTGGCCAGAACAGAGCCCGTATACTCGTCCGGCCCGCAAATTTTTTTTGCCGCAACCCACAACCGTTACCCCCGAAGCAGTATAACTGCGGGTTTGTGGGGCAGATGCGGGTCGAAACCCTACCCCCCCCCAGCCGTGTTTCTCCCCATTCCCCATTGCGCCGCTCGATTTCTCGCCGCCGGCCGCCGCGCGCAAGCCTGCGAAAGCCATGGACGGCTCTCGGGATGAGGCGGAGCGCCGCCGTCGCGTCAGATCTGACGCCGCGCGCAAGCAGGGGGCGCGTCGGTGGCTCAACCGCGGTTCCCGACCGCCACCGGCGTTCGATCGCCACGAGCTTGACGACTTTGATCGCGAGCTCGCCCGCCGCCACCATGCCTTCTCAGGCAACTGGTCCGCGGGGAGCTCATCGGCGCATCGAGCTCGCGGCTCATTCCGGTGAAGAGCGAGCCGAAGGAGGAGATCTCGCCTCGCGCCGTGCCCGATGCACCACCGCGCCGAGGCATCATCGGGCCCGAGGACTACCTCCCCCCGGGGCAGGAGGAGCTCCTCAAGCGTGTCGTCCTCGAGCGGTCGGCGAGGGAGCAGGAGCAACTACCGCACGAGCTCCGGTGAGCTCAATTTTGTGTAGTGGTACGGTAGCGTAGGTCCGTTCTAGCTCTGGCGTACTTATATGTAATATATGCATGCTGTGTACGACTCTTATGCGAAGAAGAACTAACTATGCGAAGAAGAACTATCTATGCGAGCGAGTTCCGGCGAGCTTTTGCTTAAACTTCTCGCACGAAACAAGTTTTCTAAAATTTTACGGGTTTGGATACAGTTTCTACTCTGTCGCCGCGATTTTCAGTCTACATAAACGTCTCCATGCAAACTGCAAACGCAGTTTATAGTTCGACAAAATACAAGGTCTGCTGGAGATGCTCTCACGAGGGCGCTGCCGTGGGAACTTTCCCCATCGGGGGAGGTGAGGAGATTTTTTCTTCGGAGAGTTTTTTCTTTCTTCAGCCCGCAACAGACAACGCGGTCGGCCCGGCGGCAGTTTGCGGGCCTTTTTTCCGGGGCTGCGTGGCGGCCCATGTCCGGCGGCGCTTGCACTAACCCTTGACCCACGCCGCCTCCTCCTCCTCCTCCTCCCCACCACCGCCGCATTCCCCAACCAAAACCCCTCCCAAAACCGCTCGGAGAAATGCCGCTGCTGCCGCGCCGGCCGCCGGCGGCGCTCTACGTCCCGGTGCGGGGCCTCCTCGAGGCCCGCGTGCCGTGGGGCCGGGACCGCGCGCTGGACCACGTCGTGGAGCGGGAGCGCCACCTCGTGCCCTTCCTCCTCACCAAGGACGCGCTCCTCACGGCCGCGCCGCCGCCGCACGCCGTGCCGCTCCACGCGCTGCCCTCCACCATCCCCTTCCCCTTCCGCCCGCTCCGCTTCCTCCGCCTCTACGCCTCCGCCTTCGCGCTCTCGCCGCACCCCGTCACCGTCTCGCCCACGCACAGGCTCAGCGCGCTCCACCTCGACGAGGCGCAGGCCGTCGACGCCACCCGCGCCGACGCCGCCGACCGCCTGCTGCGCCTCCTCATGCTCGCGCCCTCCCGCGCGCTCCCGCTCCACCTCGTCGCGCGCATCCGCCTCGACCTCGGCCTCCCCTCCGACTTCCCCCGCTCGCTCCTCCCGCACTACCCGGACTACTTCGCGCTCTCCGCCGACGGCCGCCTCCTCGAGCTCGTCTGCTACCGGAAGGACCTCGCCGTGTCGGCCGTGCAGTCCTACGCGCAGCGGACCGGCGGCTACAAGGTCGGCGACCCCATCGCCTTCCAGCTCTCGTTCCCCCGTGGATTTGAGCTCGACAAGAACGTTCGCAAGTGGCTGGATGAGTGGCAGAAGCTGCCTTACATCTCGCCGTACGAAGATGGTTCACACCTGGCTCCGAGGAGCGACATCACGGAGAAGAGGACTGTGGCGGTGCTGCACGAGGCGCTCAGCCTCACTGTGGGGAAGAAGATGGAGAAGGAGGTTTTGGTCAAGCTTGGGGAGGCTCTTAGGCTACCGCCGGGGTTCAGGAAGGTGCTTGCGAGGCACCCAGGGATTTTCTACCTGTCGCATAAGCTGAGGACCCAAACGGTGGTGCTCCGGGAAGCCTACCGGAGGCATATGTTGGTGGACAAGCACCCAATGATGGGGATAAGGTATCAGTTCCTGCATTTGATGCATATGGGGAGGGAGGAGGCTGGTAAAGCAAAGGGCAAGGAGAGGAAGACAGTTCGTGGCGACCAAATGATGGGAGACGACTATGGTGCAGATGGGGAGAATGAGGATGACTATGATGATGAGGAGGATGAAGAAGAGGATGAGGAGAACATTGAAGCGGGTGTTGCTTCACAGGACGAGGAGAGCGATGACGAGGATACAGAGAACAGGGGAGAAACTGGAGAACCGCAGCAAGCCGCTAACTGAGACAAGAACCTGCATCATAGTTGGTCTTGTGATGTTGGTGGTGATGTGTGTTTGAATTGCATGAATATGCTTGAAGACCTAGCAACATAATGTACAATCAGCTTCTATAACAGGTACCAAACCTACTAGAAGATGGTTCTTATTTTTGTTTAACTAGGTTGTGAAGTAGCTGGTGATTATTAAGTGAAATCATCCTTGTTGTACCATGGTGGCTTCACCTAAGTTAATCATATATATCTTAGTTTTTCAGGTAGATTACTGAAAGCATGATAGCTATTGCCATTCTCTCATGTTCAATAAAAAAGACTGCTGATCACAATTAAAGCTGCAAATTTATCCTTCCGTGTTCTGATTAGAATTTGTTTTCTGTCCATAGCAAATCGATTGAGGTGATCCTTGCTATTGGTTGATTCTCAGTGAATTCTTTTATGTACCAACTTGTTGCACATGGATACCACTGATATCTTTATAAAATTCTAAGGATTTAAATCTACAGGCGTGCTCCTGATTTACTAATGAGAACGATATATTGAAAGGATGCCGCATAATATTAATGTATGTGACAATGTTATTCTCACTGATATCAAAGTTGAAAATGTATCTCTTCGAAGGAAAAACTCGAATCAGGCATATACTTTCATGAGAATAAAAATGAAACACACACACAGAAACCCTTCTGTTTCATCTCCGTTCAGATATTAAAAGAATTGCTGCATTAACTGTACTAGTAAAACTGCAAACATGGGGTAATGTTTGTACAGTTAACCATATTATTTGGTAATTTGGAGGTATGTTAGATTACTTTTTCTGTTGACAACAGTTCTCATCTATCTGCATACCTTTAGCAGACAACAAGATATTGGTTAACTATCAACACATCGAAATATCATGATTTTAGATTGAGGCTCATCGCGCTGTTCCATTTACTTGCAATGAAACAACTGTCGATGTTATACATCATGCATGATACAGGCCGTAAGGGATAGAATTTAAATAGAATCCAGGACAAAAAGGAAACATGCTAGAAGGATAAGAACATCAAGCGCCAGCTTGAGTGCCATATCCTGGGAATTACTGCTTCGGGGATTCCAGAGCCCAGCATCAGAAAGTCTTTCGCTTCTTCACACAGAGCCAAGCCATCAAAATATATGAGGTAATGGCAATTTTGTTTTCATGAAGCCTGAGAAAATGTTTTGTTGATGAAGATCTTAATAAGCTTGTAGGTTCCTGAGATTCTGCTTTCTTACTGTCTGAACTGCTACAGCTTCTGTTGATGCTGAGGAAAATTATATAATACAACTGTGCTTTGGTCCGTTGTGGCTCCATATCTATAACAACACTAGCATTACCTTCCTCTGTGAAATGAAAATCGCCTGAGAATCCATTTGACTTAATCTGTGCTGCTGAACCAATGTTTCTGCTATGACTATTTACAATTGCTAATGAGTAGTAGTAATATTTAGCCGGTCTCCCATGTATTCACAGTCTTATGACAGTTCACATGAAACAACAGTACACATGTAGAGTTATTTCTTGTACATTCGGCTTCAAGCAGAATTTCCAAACGTGCTGCAAAAAGGAAACACATGGTGGTAGAGAGATAACTAAAAGGTGTTATTTTAAACTTTTGTCATGACATGCCCTTTTCAACCATGTAATCCATAGAGAAAGCAGGGTTATCTGTTTAATTTACACTAACATAGTAGCATATTCTGCAGCAACCTTAAAATTGTTCCTGCACAGAGTTTTCAAACGACATTTGCCGCCGATGTAGGTAGTCATGGCGCAGAGTTTTCCTGCACAGATCTTTTATATGAACATAAATAAAACAATACTCCCTCTGTCTCAAAATCTAAGATGTTTTTTGGCAGGCTCAAAATGTAAGATATTTTTTGACAAACATCTTACATTTTGAGACAGAGACCCACATAACACAGTGCCCGAACTGACCCCCAGGTACACTAACTCTAGACAGCCCATTGTTCTGATTTCGAAAAGTTTATGTCTGTGTTGGTGTTCTTTTATAGATGTTTCTTCTTGAATTTCCTGCTGCTTTTTTCTAATTGATTCAATCCCATGCCACTGGAATGACATACTTCAGTGGTGGTTGCTACAATTGTTTACTGGCTTACCTTTTCTCAAAACTCCAGAATTTATTGTGTATTTTGTTTTCACTCTCGCTATATCTAAGTTATGATCGGAAAGGCAGCAGCAAGCAGCCCCTAATCTCGCCGGCAACGTGGCCGTGTTAGCCGAGATGGAGGCAGCATTGCCTAGAACGCTACCTGGAGTTTGCCTTCTATATCTAGAGCATGCTCCAATCTTTCTAAGCGCACCAAAAGCCTTGATGGCGTGCATTGCTCTTGCTCGAGCCAGCAGCACACTGATAATCTGCCCACGACGGTGAGAACATGATGTAGTACACTGGTGACCAGTGACTAATGACCAATGACCTCAAGGAGTTGGAGCTGCTAGACACATACACTGACATCTTGGACACCAGTCTATTGTGACAAGACAATCCATGTTTATTGGGTCGTCTGGTCTTATGCACTTTAGATCCACTTAACCTACAGAGCGCACACAATTGAATACTAGCATTTGCAAGGAATGTAATTTTAGTTTAAGAAAACCTCAGATTATATACACGATTTTCAAGTTTTATTTGTTTATATTTCGATATTGAGTATATCATTTGATACGTGTGTTTACCATAGACATTGCTTGGGTGCTTGGTTCAACCATGCTTCTGTACAGGGCAATGGCATGAAAATGTGTGATTGGGACTCTCAGTTGATTTAATTCTGTGGATTGTTCGTCAAAAACCATGTTAAGAGAAATACGTGCCTCTGAAGGAGCTGATTGGTGGTGTCTACAGTTGACCTACCTGGTCCTCTTGTAAGTGAACCCCCAGGTAACGGGTGTTGGAAAATGAAAATCATATAGAGGTACGGGCATTTTCATTTATTTACACTGCACCTGAAAAGAGCATAAAAGGCTTGGTAGCTGAGCTTTTTAAAATGTCATTGTTCTTTGTGTGTTGCCTCTGTCTTTGATATAAGCAATCGCTGTATGTTCTCACGGGATCTCGTGTGATGATTCTGGTGTTTGATGCCATGTCAAGTAACAAACAACCTGATAGGGAAAATGAACAATAGGCTGTACCAAGGGCGCTACAACCAAAAGAGGATATTATGCCGATTTGAGATGTCACTAGCTAATAGTGGGTGTGGTAAGAAGGCAGTAATGATGGACGCAGCATCTTTCCAACCTAAAACACCATGTCAACTGCTTGGGTGCTGTTCAGTCAGCTTTGTGGTGTCCAGTCTACTAAGTGATGATTCTGGTGTTTGATGCCATGTCAAGTACTCCCTCTGTAAAGAAATATAAGAGTGTTTAGGTCACTACTTTAGTGATTTAAACGCTCATATTTATTTACGGAGGGAGTAACAAACAACTTGATAGGGAAAAGGAACAGACAGGGTAGTTGCTGTACCAAGAGTGTTACAGCCAAAAGAAAATGTTATGCCGATTTGAGATGTCACTAGCGAATAGTGTGGTAATAAGGCAGTAATGATGGACGCGGCATCTTTGTCCCCAAAACACCATGTGAAACTGTTTGGGTGCTGTCTAGTCTGCTGAAAGTTTGGAGTCACTAGCTGCTTCAAATGCTGACTTACATGCCCAGGAAATCACCCATTCAAAAGGTTCCCTGCGTGTTAGTATCTTTGAATATGATGAAGATTTGGCTGGTGAAAGCTCTGCTATGCACATTCTGCCGCCTTCCTTTTCCCCATTATTTGATCTTTGTGTCTTCACTCACTCTTTCTTTACCCTACCATCTTACGTTTATATGGCCGACTTCTTCGGGTTTCCTAGTTGATCCGGCAATATCACTGTACACTTTTTTTTTCGATAAACAGGGGAGCCCCCCGGCTACATTTTTATTGAGTTCTTACAAATCAATACTGCGGGAACCATGTCCATAATGGCAGGCACAGAGTTTAAACCATAAAAGATATTCACAGGAGAGACAGGTCGAACAGAAACACTCAAGATATTACTCCCTCTGTCCCATAATAAAGGACGTTTTTGCAAGCTAACATAGTTTGCGAAAACGTCTTATATTATGGGACGGAGGGAGTAGTTAACTATCTACACTTCAAAATATCCTGATTTTAGATTGAAAGGCTCATCGCCCTGTTCCATTTACTTGAAGTGAAACAACTATCAATGTTATACAGCACCAAATGATACAGGCCATAAAGGATGGAATTTAAATAGAATCCAGGACAAATAAGGACACAACGCTAGAAGGATAAGAACATCAAACGCCAGCTTGAGTGCCATATCCTGGGAACTACTGCTTCGGGGGTCCCGGTACCCAGCATCAGAACAGTCTTTCGCTTCTTCACACAGAGCCAAGCCATCAAAATATATTTAGTATTGGCAATTTTGTTTTCATGAAGCCTGAGAAAATGTTTTGTTGATGAAGACCTTAATAAGCTTGTAGGTTCCTGAGATTCTGCTTTCTTACTGTCAGAACTGCTACAGCTTCTGTTGATGCTAAGGAAAATTATACTTCCTCTGTCCCAAAATAGTACTCCCTCTGTCCCAAAATTCTTGTCTTAGATTTGTCTAGATACGGATATATCAAGTCAGGTTTTAGTATTAGATGCATCCGTATGTAGACTCTTGATATATCCGTATCTAGACAAATCTAAGACAAGAATTTTGGGACGGAGGGAGTACAAAGTTGTATCAAGTCTGTGACACTCATTTTGGGACAGAGGGAGTATAATACAACTGTGCATTACCTTTCTCTGTGAAATGTATATTGCCTGAGAATCTATTTGACTGAATTTGTGCATTTAGCTGATCTCCCATGTATTCACAGTCGTATGGCAGTTCACATGAAACAACAGTACACATGTAGAGTTATTTCTTGTCCATTCGGCTTCATTTAGAATTTCCAAACGTGCTGCAAAAAGGAAACACAT